CTCGTCATAAATGACTACCACATGACTACAACATAACTATGTATTCAATTTGACTAATTTTTATCGTTTATTATATTTTTGAGTATAGAATAGAGCTCATAACAATATTGTCAATTGGGAAATGTGTCCATTATTCAGATCGATATTCACTATAAATTTCTTACTATTTAGTTAGGGATAGATTTATGAGACGTAAGTTGGGACCACCAGTACGAAGGGTGAGTTTGATACATATATATATATATATAAACCTTATGTTTTCAGGAGAGAACTGTCGGGCTGAATTTATAGATGATAATGGTGTTGAAAGAAGTGAAATTATCAAAGTTAGTGATGGTGTAGTCAAGTTCAACTCAACTGAATGTCAATGCGACTACCAAAATTACAATGGAGAACCAAAAGCAAATTGTGTACAAGTATTGAGTATCGAGCCGGTAGCTGCAAAGCTAACTACTCCGTAATGGATTTGATATAGAAGTAAAGAATATTGAAAACCTTTTGTGTTTTTAGAAAATTCAGTCTACAATGTATGTCACCGAATGCCCATGTAAACTGGAACTGTTTTTCCTTTGCTTTGCTTTAAGCATGTGCTGTCATTGTGCACAAGGCATTTAGGAGACTTTCGCACAATGTTTTGTTTGGATAAAATCAATCGGTCGAGAAAATGTTGCGCACAGTTCGGTCTGCTTCCAGAATGGTTAGATGATGGATTTATCTCAACGGCCTTTCATCCATCAGAACAATGTCTTGAGCGAGTTTGGGTTTTTACGATGTTTTGATGAACTGAGATGTTTTGGGTTATTATTCTGTTATAGCTAAAAGCATCGAAATTAGTTTGAAAGATAGATAGATGATCGCATTATTATTCCTGACGCTGAAACGTGACACACTTACGTTGATTGCTGAAGTCTTAGACAAGTTCAAAATTGACGCTGTTTAAATGATCGATGTAGAGTTAATGAATTGGTCAAATCAGGATTTAAACCATGTGTAAGATATAATTGATCTGATTTGGATTGCTGATATTTGAATCACAGACGAATAAGATGGTGATACTTATGAGTTATCGCCCTTTGCCTATTAAAAAACCATGTCGAAATCAACATAGAATCAACCTAGAAAATGCAATCTATTGGGATAAATCGGGATTTGTTTATGTGGATTGATGAAGTCTCAAATAACTTTTGATTACTCTCTGATTTTTGGTTTGGTGTGTTTTAATTATTGGCGTAACATGATAGAAAATCTGGAGTTTTTGTCCAGTTTGAATGGAAATTTGTTATTATTTTCAAATGAAATCTTAAACAAGGTTAACATTTTTGATCACATGAAACGTTATTATTACTTGGCTATTATGTGCGCATTCCATCTTGCTGGGGATTGAATAGAGTTAACCTGATGGTTATGTAAACACAGTTGATAACAATTTGACAACTGTGAAAATTGAGAAAAAAATCACAATATTTTACACTACAACATCTATTATACACCTAGGAATTCAAATGAAAGCCATTTTGCACTGAGTTATTACACAACTGTTATGAACGGTTTTCGTTTATGTAAAGGCTTCGTCACCATTCTTTTCATGAAACGCAGCCTCTTTGTTATTATAGGCGTTCTAGGTTCTTGATTATAAAAAGGTTTACCAGGTGTAAATATATCCTGTCTTCTATCTGTTACTAATTGTATTTGTGTCTTCTGTTGTCTATTCTTAGGAACCGCGTCCAATGTTCGGCGCTTGTAATGTTGCCTTTGTACGTTCATGTATGCTTTAGATTTAGTTCGTCTCTTGTCCTCAAATGTATAGCGTTCATCATAATCTAGTTCGCCCGATTTTAAAAACCATCCTAGCTTTTTAGGAAATTCTTGAAATGGGTCAGTCTTTGAAGAAAACTGATCCGACATTGTTAGAAATCTGTCATTTAACGCAGTTCTTGTATTGATATTAATATTGGATTTCCATGAAGATACATGATTCTTCTGACTTCCTCTTGGATTTCCATCAAATCCAAATTTCTTTAGTTGATTTTGTACCAGCGTTTTCCTGGTTTGGTCATCTATCACCTTTAAGTAGACAAACAAAACGATACCTGTTAACATTATAGCCAAAACTATCTGAATGATCTACGTAATTCTATATAAAATACTGTAATAAAATCGGTACAAAAAAAAGAAAATTTCCAAAAATACGATGAAAAGGAGTTTTGTTTCCATGTACTGTATATTTTACCTTCACTTTAGTCGCAAAAGAAATACAATAATATTATAAATATCTTCATATATTCAAATTATCGTTTTCGATCATGTTCCTGAGTAATGAAAACTTCCATCAATATACTAATAAAATTATTAAAGTCCATGGATTGCCATTTTGGGGCCTTGAATGTACGTAAAAAATCTTCAAAAGTATCAAAACTGTACGAGAATCGCATTATTATTAAATAGTCCTCAAACAAGAAATTACTCTTTTATTTATTTTATTTCTCTGAAAATTGAGTTATTCGAAGGTTGAACGTTTTGTATATATAGTCTCTGACATCCAGACATCTTTCGTCGCAGCTGTCCTTGTATGCAAACAACGTCATCAACTGATATTCAAAATAAATAATTTTAAAAGACGGATAATTATGAATACACATGGCTGAGAAGGCTCAAATATCGACGGAAAGCTGTGAATACTAAAACCGAATAGCTATGCTCTTGTTTTTGAAACCAAAGTACGATTAACCCCCGAAAATGGCGACCCTTGGACTTTAAGAAACTTACCTGGTTTATTCTATTTCGATTAAAATGTATATCAGTCTTGTTGAATTTTTTCGCTTGCACATCCTGGTTGATCTGGTTGACATTTCTTGAACGTAACACTGGCGTATCGGAGAAGTAGTTCTCTGTTAGTATATCTTGTTTACCTTTATTAAAAATTCCACTAAATTTGTTATGATTATTCGACTCATGGAAACTCAGCGCCCGTGGTGTATGAATTTTACTGTTCAATTTAAGGGGAACAGGACTTTCGGTTAATTTTCTTTCCATATCAGGAAATGCTTCTGAAGATGATGCTATATCTTCGGTGGTAACACCCTCGTCTGTTTCTGACGCAGGCAAAACCGTGACTGTAGATAAAGATGAAATGGGGCGAATTTTGTCTTCAGGTTGTTTTAGATTATCAACAAGGTCTGAAGAAAAGGGTTCGTTATCAATATTGCTTCCATTTGTATTTTCAAGTTGGCGAAAATCCTTATATCTAGGTACTAACTGACGCTTCGGTTTCCAGGATATCGAACTAACGCGGTTTTCTTTCTTATTACATGAATCCCTTATCAGTGGAATACTACCGTCATTCTGTTCTATGATATTGGCGTGCGGTAGCTCAGATGCACAGTTGTCTGAAATGTCGAGGACACTACTGTTTGCATGAGGGAAAATTGTGTCATTGATCATCAAATTCGTTGCGTCGTATTCAGATGGTTTATCTGGATTTTCAACCAGAATGTCATTAGTATCAGTCTTTGTTCCCTTCAAAGATTGTCTTGTAATAACATCTAAAATTAAAGAAGTACTTGAGGCCTTTAAATTTAAATCCCCGTCAATAAACACATCTTTATGAGCTTCATCATCGGTATCCTTAATGAGATCTGAGCATCCTTGTTTGCTTTGTATGGTAAGTCCATTAACCAAATCCGCTAAGGTTGTTCCATTACTATCAATATCTTTCAAACGTCTGGTAGATTGCTTTTTAGATTTGCCACACTTATTTGGGAATATTGTTTCGTTGTGTTCTATTTCATCAGCTTTAGAGGCCTCGTTGTCTCTAGATGCCTTTGCATTGCGTCCATATATGTTGATAATTTCTAGATTGGTAGCTCTGGCTTCTGCAACTGCTTGTATCATAAGAGGTCGAATTGCAAGTTCACGACAATAAAGTCTGATGAAGTTTCTTACCAGTCTATCTCGATCAACTTGTTTCGTTTCATTTAATGATCTCTGAAAAAGAGTAAAACTGTATTAGTTATACATTTTGAGTAGGTGATATCGTTTTTACGCCCTTATCTATTATTTTAACATCAAAATAGAAAAACACCAGATATATAATTCAACTGGATTTTGTCAGCTCGGCAAATCACTTATAGTGAGTTAACATATTACAATAGTTTATGGAATTGGATAAAATTCAATAATCATTAATTTAGTGATCTCGCTTTTTGTCTTATGAAACTACTTTATTGCTCGCATATCAATTACGGGCTTTACCAAGCTGTAAATAAACAAAGAGTAAATCTTTACCAAGATATGAAGAGATACATAAAGAGATCCCAGTTTTTCGCATTAGGTAACTTAAAACTTATATCCATATAAGAAAAGAAAGAAACAACTATGTTTTACAGCTAGTCTTTGGCCAAATCTGTTTCCAGGATTATATGTGCCCATTGACAGCCAGGTCGACTGGAATAATGAGAAAATATAACTTATTCTAAGTCATCGGACTTTAAATCCCTGACCGAGATTAGAATCCACGACCAGCATTTTGTTTGACATAACCAAGCAACAACGTCTTTGTAAAATCCAGTTTGTATAATAATCCACAACCTGTACCCGTTATCAAAGACAAGGACTATAGGAATAGTAACGGTATTGTGTTAACTCATAGTATTGATTCCAGTTATATAATATAGTAAAGATAGTTTTTACAGATTATCACAGATCAAATATTTAGCTTCCGCAACTCAAAGATATTAATTACAAAACAAAACGACTTGCTATAATATTTATTTTCCTGTTTTCTAAAACGATTTATTTGTCAACGTCACTGAAACGAACTTCATTGATCATTGTTCTTTTAACTGATATTGGTATTCCAAAAAAACTTTTATTCATGTTGAAGACAAACTTGGCCAAGATCTTGATTTTACTGATGTCAGTTGTCGACATCCTATATCAGGTTGAAGACGTAAAGTAAATGAAACTACACCTGCATCCAGAGGTGGAAACAAAGAGTAAAACTTTTCAGAACTGAACAAATGAAATTAAATCTATCGTATAATTATTATAGAAATATTTAAAAAAAAAAGAACCTGAAAAAAGTTGTTACACACAGTTTCAAGCTGTGAAATCTAATAGGTTCTGTTTTAATATTGTCTGAAGGAAAAACATGTTTCGGGTTCTGTTTAATACTTTTATATCGCTCTACAATTGATGTATTGAGCACTATAACAACAACTAAAATATTTTATTATTATTTATATACTTTATAGCTTAATGCAAATTTGAGAGTTCTAATGGGTTGAAGCGAACAGTTCATATCCATAAATGGACTGACTACGATCAAGTGGATAGTCCCAGTGAAGCCAGAAAGAAAAACAGAAGCTGTTGGTACAATTTAGACCTATCAGTCAAGAGTGGGCAAAGGTCGATTAAATCCATAAAGTGATAGGAATTTCACAGATGCTGCATTCCAGATAATGGAGATCCAATCGTAATTATTTCTTATGTTGATTTGTTTTGAAATCTAACCATTTTCATACTCATATTTATTAGTTATATTGATTAATTAAAATGATGGACCTCTTGATAGTTTTTTAGAACAATGTTTTAAATTTTTTATCAATCAATCAATTAACTTTTTATACAAGTACATTTTAATAATAATTAAGACTGCTTGAAGTATATTCACAACTTCATTGTATTACAACTTTTTAAAGGTTAACGCTTCCCATGTCAAAACTCAAAAGCAATGAATCGGCAATATAATATGTATCTACAAACTTTACCACGACTGCTACATAGATACTATGTAACATACAGATAAATAATATGAATCCTCTTCCGGTTCCCACGAAATCAATGATCTAGGACAATCAAGGGGGTGTTTCACCTATGCCACATGTTCAGTTCAAAAGTTCCAATCCTGAAATTGTTTAGCCGACTATGTTGACACGTACAGGTTCTTTGTCCGCGTTCTGTAGCATTTCTGTGATAAAGTTGCTCATATGAAGCCAATTGTGAAGTATTCGCAAACACAAGAACTAACCCAAGACTTCACAAATATAACGATAGCTTTTCAAATATCATGTGCGGAAGGCAACCAAAATATCATACTTTTCAAAACACTAAAACAATTCAACCGTCGATTCGATCAAGCATATTATGTACCATGCAGTCTCTACACTACAATAATGTACCAGCTGAAACCGACATATTTGTAGAGAAACTTCTGTATTTTTCCCTTAAAGCACATAAAAATTTACCTTAGTTGGTTCTAAAGGTGAGTTGTTAGAAGCCTTTATTCTGTCTGCTAGTGAAGGTACTGGTTGCATATTCCTTTTCGTCGGGCCCATTTTGGGTAGACACAAACTTCTTTACCTATCCAAGAAAGAAAAGCATACTTGTTCTAAAGTTTGATCACAACCTTTTTGTTTCGACAAATTGGATTTTGATCGCTTTTCGATATATTAATATGGTCTACATTCCTGAGGCCATCGGTTCGTAGAACAATCTATTTTCTAGACAATAATACAATCATTCAAGTGTTTTTAAGTTGTGCTGTTCCTCTGGACAACATAGATATCAATGTCCTTTCGACGTGCTTAGTGGTTTTCAAACATGATAGAATTTACAATTAAAAAACCTAGTCATCTATAGCTTTTAGTTGGAGCGAGGATAATAATAATTATCAATGTATTTACCTACTAGCTTTACATTACGGCATATCCGTTTAATAGGATAGATGGTGAATGATTTGTGTTAAAATTCATTTAATCACTTGGCATGAAATACAATTTGATCACGATCTCTTTTTATGATATAAATTGTCTGTGTCACGTAGATTATAAATCACAAACAATATCTCCATAGACTGCACTTTCAGAACGACGTGTAATTTTAAAACTTTTAATTTCTAAATGATTTTCTGATATACTCCTTATTTAAACAGGAGACTTATCTTTACCAAAAACAAATGGACATGTATTGTCTTCCTTTGATTTACAAATAGATGTGTTCTCTCATAGTATCTCGTTCAAACATTCTTTTATGTTTGCCTACCTAATAGGATTTCTGTTAATTCCATCTATTGAATACCCCCATCATTCACATCATAAACACAAATAAATATTGTGCCACAATTCAAACTAAAATGTTATATGTCCTGGCTAAATACTACATTTAGATCACTGATGTAGGGATAAAATAATAGAGCCAAACTATATGGTTTTCCAGCTTTCATGTGTTTTAAAAACGCTTCTATTTGCATTATTCAGACGTTTGTGTTAATTCTAGGAAAACCTGAGAAGATAATTTTGTCATGCCATGGTGAATTCCAATTAGCTTGAAAGTCGAAGTATTATATAACATTAAATTCACAACAACGGTAGCCCCGAATAAGTTATTCACGTTTACCGGCATAGAGCGCTCAGTGGTATAGAATCTCAATTGAATCACTGTTAAAAGTTACTTAATTCTTAGTACATTGTCCAATACAGTGAAATAATATTAAATCCTACACTGATGTAGTAAAACCTGTTATTTTCACTGATCAATATTAAGGTTCAAATAGTCGTGAATGAAAAATATTTGTTATCATGTATGTTTTAACATAGCCAATTGTAATATCAATTATAGCGACAAAAGCACCATTCTATCTGACTAATCATTCTTTAGTTTCAGACACGGGTTTTTTTTAGCACAGCCAATCAGTAATAGCGTTAGCTCACCGTCAAAATTGGGGCCTCAAATCCATGTGTTCAGAATAATCCGAGTTTGAATGTTAAAATGACGACACATAGAAATGACATAACGTATTGAAATAGTGAGATAATTCCTAGTTTGAGATATTTTTGAAGGAATAATGCACAATCGCACATTTGTAGCAATCCTAAAGATTATTTACATATTTTCAAGCCTCAAATCATTCAAAAAATGTACATGTCCAGGTTTATGATTTAACATTTGATGACGTTACAAATCCCACAATCCCAGGCTGAATAATGTTCGTACGGACTATTGAGTGTCACATGCGACATGAAGTTTCTTCAACCTAGTCATACCAGCTTCCAAATAAAAGTGGAAATCCACTTCATAAAATAATAGTTTTCAATACTTGGCATTGCATTTTAAACTATTTCTGCATAATAGAATCAGGCTACTGACGCGATATTTCACCATATATTATTTTACATTGATTATTATGACATTTACAATCGGACGTTCCTTTGTTATTTTTTAGTCTAAAACACTTTTTAATAATATTATTTTACACTTTTTATCATTCGGTCTAAAGGATTACCAAGTTTCTTGTATCCTAACAATAAAGATATAGGCTAAAAGTGTATGTTCGAAAATAAAATCAACTTACCTCCATTTTGGATATCAGATTTAACAACCTTTAGGCACAAGATCAGTTCCAAATAAATGTTTTTTGATTGAATTTCTTGACAGTGATTTGGGAATTCTGTCTATAACAAGGGCAGGAATATCAGATTATTTAACACAAATATACTTAAAACAAAAATCTCACAACTGTATATAAGCAATTCAAATCTTTGTAATAAAATACCAACTGCATGCAATGTGTTCAGTAATAGTGTATAATGTAGGTGTAACTTTTCTATTAGCCAAGATTAATTACCACTGACTAATTATTTTCAGCTCATTGTTGTATTTTAATTTAACGAATCTTAGAACGTGATATACCTATTAATCACAACCTTGTCAAACAAATGTCGATATCCATAGCGAAATCCCTGATAGAATTCCCTTTAAACAAGTAAAACAAACATACAAGGTTTTGGTAGCGTATTCTTTACTTATGAAAATAGTGCATGCACTATGGCGGTGTTCAAACA